TTGTAACATCTTCCTGGCTCCCTTATTAGTTAATGAATTAAATAAAACCTCTGACACACGTTCATTGTATATTTGCAACTCATTATTATACCCTTTAAAAAATCTCCTTTAACAATGTTTATATGATTCTCTGTATATGTGTTAGACTTCAATTTAAAAAAGTTACATTTTAAAAGACAAGAAAGGGCACTGCACCTCTGTCTAAGGCTATTGTCGCTGAGCCATTCAGTTCCTGGGTGGGACGAGGGCCAGGGTGTCAGGCTGAGCCCAGGGAGGCCAACTGCCAAGGCCACGGTCCCAGAGAGTAGGGCTGGCAAAGCGTGACAGGACCAGCTCCCCAGCCCGGAATCTGAGCTGAGCCTGCCTCGAGCCAGCCAAGGGGAGCACGGGGCTGCCCTGCTGCCTAATGTCACTCACTGAATTCAGAGCAAGCGTGGCCACCTCTCCTAGGAGACAGCCCGGTACCTGCTCCTGGGGGCCAGGCCGGCTGGCTGGATGCTGAACCTGCTGGGCTTCCTCTCCCAGCAGGAGGCAGCGCTATTATTATTTGATTAATTCGCAAAACAAAGACCGGGCTGGGGCAATTGGTCTTGAAGTAAGGTTCTCCAAGGGCGAGTAAATCTGAAACTAGAGCAGAGGAATAGGCCCGGGAAGAAGCGGGAGGGGTTGACGCTGACATTTAGCACCGAGCTCACCTCAGGGAATCCCTGCCTCTGCTGTCCACAGGGAACCAGGGCAGAATGGGCCTTGCCAGAGGCCCGGTGGCAGGTGGTGGCAGATGACCACCCCCTCCTTGGGTACCTGGACCTATATGCCCCCTTGAGCATCAATCAGGAAAAAGATGTGGGTTTGCAGTTTTGCCCCCAAACTTGCCTTTCCTGCCCTGGGGGCAGATGTGACGCTCTGTCCCTAGAAACTGAGCCCCTCTGTTGGGCATCCCTGAGAAGTAGGGGAGTCCCCAGGACAGGGCCCGGCCTCCTCCCTGCTCGCCTGCCCCCCTCAGCCTCTCCATGCCTTCACTGTCCCCAGACTTACAAACTTACAAGCCCCACAGAACACCGAACAAAAGCCGCAGTCAGCAGCCAGACAACCACAGCCACTGTGACGGTCACGCTGGCCTTGGAGGCTCCACTTCCCACTCCCAGGAGCTCTTCACAGTGTTTCTTAAAAGTGGATCTCCGCTGGGGAAGGGAGGCAGCAATTCTGCTGCCAAAGAAAATGAAATTTTCTCCTTATCCTTACGACTGAACAGCACGTGAGCAGATCTGTGAGCATCTGAGGACTCCTTAAAATCAAGCATCTCTTGGTTGACTTGCCCCCCGATATGTTTTAAGGACCCCTTTAGCACAAACAAGGACTATTCTGTTTTCTCCCAACCTTCTGGAAATCCTTCACAAGGAGCAATGACTGGAATTCCAGGACAAGAGACAATGTGGAGCCCAAGCACGGTGGCCGGGCCCGCCTGAGACGCAGTCCTTCCCGCGGCGGCCACGCACCCGGGCACGCACCCGGGCACACACCCGGGCAGGCCGCGCTCGCTCGGCCTTCTTCCCTCCTAGACGCAAGGTTTCTGGATTCCAGTGGCCTGTGGGAGGCTCAGCACCCCCCTGGCCGCTCCCAATTCCTGGCTAAGGGACACTTACCAGACTACCGCCGGGGACCCCCACATCCTCGGGCTGGGCAGCTCTCTCCTGCCCCGGGAGAATTTGTCCGGAAGCAGTTCCAAGCTCACAGAGAAAGGCTGGCCTCTCCCCTTCCCTTCCCATATGGTCTCAGGGGTTACGCAGGTGCCGGAAAGCACAGGTAGGTGTCAGCCCCTCTCAGCTCCTCCCTGCCGCCCCCTTGCAGTGGTGAGATTGATTGCTTTAGCCCCAGGAACTCAACGTAAGAGCGCTGAGCGGAAGGACGATAATTGACTGATGCCACTGAACTGCCCCGCCTTTGCCAAGGAGAGGCCGGCTGGGGGTGCAGGGCCTGTCGCCCTCAGGCTGCAGGAGAAGGCTGTCTCTGGGCCGAAGGAAGGAGAGGAGCTAAGAAACCAAGTCGCACTGGCGGAACCGTCCTGCTCTCGTGGCAGGTGTCCCGGAGACCTGCTCCAGACCCCTCCTGGCAGAGTCAGTTCCCGCCACTCCAGCGAGTGAGGCGCGGTGAGTTTCCGGAGAAGAACGGAGAAGTTCCCAGTGAGCCGGCTGCGGTGGGAAAAGTCACGACGGAGGAGGGAAGTGGACTGACGTGGGGTTTTCAAGGCTCCCTCTGGCTGCTGGGGTGAGAACAGTCTAGAAGGGGCAGAGGAAGGAGGAAGGAAACCGGCCGAGAGCCCCGGACCACCAGCCGCTGCAGAGCAGGTGTATCCACGGACCGCGCCCTGCTCTCCCGCCTGCCTCGTTCCCATGCGCTCTGCGAGGCTTGGCTGGGCCACCGTGCCCCAAGCTTCCCAGGACCAACGCTGCGGGGCTGGGTCTTGTCGTCAGGTATTTTTAAGACATTCGATGCTTAAATGCCACAAAGGAAGGCTGCAAGAAGAACAAAAGGCGGGAAGAACAAAAGTCGGGGCTCCTGCTGGCCCCAGTCTGCTGCGGTCCAGCTCGGGCCACCCGGCTCGCCTCGCCTCTCTGGGCCCTCCTTTCCACACACACTGTCATGGGCTGGGCTGCGTTCCCTCAAATTCATATGTCGAAGTCCTAACCTCCAGAATCTCAGAATGTGACTGTATTCGGAGACAGGGTCTTTCAAGAGGTAATTAAGTTAAAATGAGGTCATTAGGGTGGGCCCAAACCCACCATGACTGGTGTCCTTCTAAGAAGAGGACACTAGGACATGGACACATACAGAGGGACAACCGTGTGAGGACAGGAAGGAGATGCCATCTACAGCCAAGGAGAGAGGCCTCGGGAGAAACCAGCCCTGCCCGTACCTTGATCTTGGACTTCCAGCCTCTTGAACCGTGAGAAAATAAAATGGTGTTTAAGCCCCCAGTCTGTGCTCATCTGTAACGGCAGCCCTGGCAAACTAATACTCCTGCAGAAGGAGGATTTAATTCTAGCTGGTTCCGAACGCCCCTTGCAAGTAAAAAAAAAAGTCTCGATTGTAACTGCTCCATTTTATCTGATTGTATGTGCCCTTTCTTCCCCTCCAAAGACTTGCCATTATTGATAGTCAAGGAACTTCAAATTCCCAGCAGAGAGCTGGCACACAGTAGCTCTTAATAGATGCTTATTGAATAAATTAAGGAACAGTAGGAAGTACCCTTAATTCTGCAAAATATAGTGGACATTCACTCATGCCTTCATTCAGCAAATGTTCACTGAGCACCTACTATGTGCCAGGCCCTGTTCCAGGTGTTGGTGTCGCAGCAATGAACAGGAACTGTCTTCCCTGCCCCCATGCAGGGAAGAACATTCTAGTATGAGAGAAAGAGCAACCATAAACACATAAATAAGTAAACTGTGCGATATTGTTCATCGACCAGCCCCAGCTACATAGAACACCCACTGCGTGCCAGGGCTGCCCCAGCGGTGACCCAGGCCATCCTCCTCTGTCCCAGTTACAGCCCCAAATTGGCCACTCTATTAGCTTCCTAGGACTGCTTCATAACAAAGTACCCTGAGCTCGATGACTTAAAACAACAGAAACTTATCCTCTCCCAGTTTAGAGGCCCGAAGTCCCAAATCCAGGTGTCAGCAGGGCCATGATCTAGGACCTAGGAGAGGATCCTTCCTTGTCTCTTCCCAGCTTCTAGTGGCCGCTGGCAATCCTTGGCGTTCCTTGGCTTGTGGTTGCCTTGCGTCAATCTCTGCCTGCATTGTCATCACATGGTGTGCTCCCTTTGTGTCTCTCTGTCCCAATCTCCCTCTTCTTAGAAGGACACTAGTCATTAGATTAGGGCCCAGCCTAATCCAGCATGACCTCATTTTAACTCGATTATATCAGCAAAGACCCTATTTCCGAGCGAGATCCCATTCCCAGGTATCAGAGGTTTGAACATATCTTTTTAAGGGACACAATTCAACTCACAGTAGCCACCATGTTGCTTTGCCACTCAGAGCAAGCAAGATTACAGCAGAATTTAAAGGTCAGAAATATACCTCTCCACTCCATTCTTCAGATCCAACTAATTTTGTCAATCATTTTTGGATCTTTCTCTTTAAACTGAGCTAGAGGCCAAGAGTGGCGGCTCATGCTTGTAATTCCAGCATTTTGGGATGCCAAGGCAGGAGGATTGCTTGAGACCAAGAGTTTGAGACCAGCCTGGGCAACATGGCAAGACTTGTCTCAACAAAAAATAAAAATTAAAAAAAATTAGCTGGGCACGGTGGTGTGCACCTGTAGCCCCAGCTACTCAGGAGGCTAAGGCGGGAGGATCTTGTGAGCCCAGGAGTTTGAGGTTGCAGTGAGGTATAATGATGCCACCACACTCTAGCCTGGGCAACAGAGTAAGACCCTGTATCAAAAAAAAAAAAAAAACCTGAGCTAGAAGAAAATGATTCCAGCTACTTTAAAATTTTGGAGTTTGGGGACGACATTCTTTTTGTGATTGGATCTTTTCCCTTCCCCAGCATTTTGTTATGAAAATTTTCACACATACAGAAAAGTTAGAAGTATACAATGAACACTCATCTATCCGCCACCTAGAACCTAGATTCCACTTAGGTTGTTAGTGCATTCGTATTAGATGGTTTCTCTTTTTAACTCATCCCTCTGTCAATCAACTTTTCCTTTAATCCCCGGTGGCTCTGGATTTATCACGAACCACCTGAGAAGACTTGGGGTTGGAATTGGGGACCCAGTGGGGTGCATGGAAGCTGGTTGTCACTGTGGTCTGGTGACACACAGATGCAAAGCCCTCGTCACACCAAACAGAAGCAAACAAGAGCAGAACACACAGCTGGTTAAACCCTCACAGGAGCTCTTGAGGATGCACGGGCCACATCATAGGGCCTCACATAGGAATCCCAAGGCCAGAGCAAAGGTCTCTGGTACACAGCTCACGCAAAAGAGCCTTAGAAGACCACCCTGGAGCTGTTGTTTAAACCTCGAAAAGAGAAGAAGAAACAGGAATTGAAAAGCAGGCTTTTCTCCCTATTTGGACAACCTAAACCCCAGTTCCTCCTACACACACACACATACACACACCCCCCTACAAACATAGGCACAGACATCTTTGCACACACCCTTAAACATGTAGTTACCTGAACACCCCTGTACAAAACCCTTACACACAGGCCCCTACGCACACTCTTAGAAACACACACACACATACGCATACACAAACATAGGAGGGGCTCCGTTCTTGAATATTTTTAGAGAAAGCAGTTTCACTGGGGTCTTTTCAGTTGAGCTCAAATTTTATTTCTCCATCTGGGAAAACTGCATTTTCAACATTGCTTTTACCCAATAGGTTGGAAGCCCTGGGAACTGGCCAAGTCACAGCCTGGCGGGGGTTTCACCACGGGCGGTCGTATTTATTAACACCCTCCTTCTCTTGCAAATGAGAAATTGAGAAATCCCTTTTAAACTAAAAGCTCTTCTACTCACTGAGCTGGTTTTTCGAAAGCAGAAACCACTGACCCACTAACTGGTCTCCTCTGATACTTGGAGGTCAAAGATTACTAAGAAATATTAACTCCAATTGCCAACTACCCCAGGCCTTTTAAATTCGCCCATCTCTGTGAGATCTGGCACCATTATTTACCACTTTATGAGGAGGAAATCAACACTTAACCAAACGATTACCAGGCTTGCTGAAGTTCTACCTGATCAGTCGGTTACAAAACACACAAACCAACTAGACACTTCCTTGCCTGGGAAGCAGGAAATGAACGGTCTGTGCATTGTGATGTCAAAACACCATTTTCTTCTTTGCTCTGTCAGAAGGATGATTTAATTCCTTCTAGGAAGACATTTCCCTCTCCTGGAACAGAATGCAAATCTTTAACCATCCTTGCCCTGGAAGGAGGAGGGTCAGTTTCTCTGCCTCTAACTGCCAATTCTGGCCACCTCTGAGTCGGACAGGGTTCTAAGCACTCGACATAGAGCAGCTAATTCAGGGATTCTTGCCTGAGGTCCACCCTCAAGGGTACATGTGTAAAATTCAGGGGGTTCTTGAACTTGGATGGAGGAAAGATTACACCTTTATTTTCACTAACTTCTAACTGAAATCTAGCTATTTTTTTTCCTCTATTTTTTTGAGACAGAGCCTCGCTCCGTCGCCCGGGCTAGAGTGCAGTGGTGTCATCGTAGCATTGTTCTTCTGATATAAACTTCTGAGCCCTGTAATTGCTCTAGTCTGGCAAAATTTCCCACTGAAAAAACTGAGTACTGAGATTATTCAACCTGGTGTCATAGGAGACCCTCTGGAAAATGCTAAAGCTCTCTGACATCACCATGTAATGATTCTTTTTCTCGTGAGCACTGAGGGGTTAATAATAGTAGCTAGTGTTGGTTGAGAACCTTCTATGTGCCAAGCACTTTAATTCTCCCAGCAACTCTATGATATGAGGCAAGTAGTATTAGTACCCCCGTTTTACAGAGGAGGAAATAGAACCCTTGAGCTGTTAGTGATTTGCAAGAAGTCCCAGGGCTAGCGAGTGGCTTGGACTTTGCCCCCAGATAGTCTGTATGTGGCACATGACACCAAGATCTCTGAGTCCCCTTTCTAGAACATAAGCCTCAAGTTGCAGTGAGAGAGGAACATGTAAATGTCTGCAAATTTCTTTGTTAAAACATTTTTTTCACCTTGTTTAGAAAATATACTAGTCTGATTTCAAGAGGCAAATTAACAGTTAAGAGCTCAGATTCTAGAAATATTCAAACTCAATAGATATCAGAGAAACGCAAATTAAAATGACATTAGGAGAGAGCATTTAACACCCATCGGAATGGCAAAAATTAAGAAGATGGAAATGAGAGAGGTGGAGGGTTGGCCCAGCTGTGCGGAGGCGGGAGAACGAGGAGCCAGGAGCCTGGGTGCCCAGCCAGTCTAGGGTGGAGCTCAAACACCACCCTGGCATTTCTGAGCTGGTTTCTGTACCTGGGAAATGGTGATGTTATCACAGAGTTGTTGTGAGGATTCAAACAACTATCGACATCAAGTGCCAGGAATGGTGTTTATGCTGAATGAAGGCTCCATGAACACAGCACCGAGGGAAGGAGCTTTGCTCACTTGCTGTATCCCCAAGTGCCCACAATGATTTGCCCCCGGGGGAGCCAGCAAGTAAATGTGGTGGAGCCATGCAGTGCGGTACTCCGCAGCACTTAGAAGCGATCGTCTAGAGCAAGGGTTGGTGAACTTTTCTATTAAAGGCCAGATAGTAAGTATTTTAGGCTTTGTAGACCATAAGGTTTCTGTCACAGCCTTACACGATATGCAAATAAGAGGGCATGAGCATATTCCAATAAAACTTTATTTATGGGCCAGG